AAAGAGTAACAATTAAGATACCCCCCAGGGCGCAAGCTCCGCCTCCTCAACCTTCCTTTCAGTTCCTCTCAAGTCCGCCGTTGTCAGGTAGAACAGGTCTAATATTAAACAATGTGGCGGACAGAGAGGAGGAAGGGAGGGATGTGTGAATTCACAGAGGTCCACTAGAAGAACCATGGTTCCAGGTAGGTAACCTTTCTTTCTTCATAGTGGCCTTTGTGAATGCACACAAATGGGTGACTGACAAGTTCACTTACCAAATGGCGGGCCATCACTGAGCAGTCAAGTCAGTATCACTCTGCCAAATGCAGCATCCCTTTTGGCTCTGACATGGAGCCGACAGTGCTTCGGAAACATCGAAGGGTTGGACCAGGTGGCTCCTTTGCAAATGCTTTGCACTTCAACCCTACGGTGCAGTGCAGTCGATGTCGAAACTGCCCGGGTACCCGGGTAGAGTGTACCTTCAGATGGTATCGGCTTGCCAGAGAGTTTGTAAGCTATTTGTATAGCTTGCACTATCCACCTGGATATGGTCTGTGTCGAGGCGGGGGCACCTCTACAGTATTTGGTCCATGGTAGCAGATGAATAACCTAGGGGAATGTCGAAACTGTTTCGTTCTGTCAATATAGAAAGCCAGAGCCCGTTTGACATCCAGTGTATGGAGTTTGCACTCGAGCAGGGTGGATGGAGAAGGGAACAATGTTGGTAGCACTATGGTTTGATTCATATGAAATTCAGATACCACTTTAGGTAAAAATGTAACATCAAACTACAAACACTTTATCCAGATGAAATTGAAGATATGGCGTACCGGACCGTAGAGCTGCTAATTCACTTCGCTGTTGGAAGGGTCTGCCCACTGTCAAGTTCTGGATGGATGTCCACCATATAAGTTGATATACCAGTTCTGGGGTTACCAATAGGCGTTTCAACTGATGATCTGTTAATGCATCAAACAGGGTTAGGAACCATGCCTGATGTGGTCTCATTTTGAGTCTCGTTGGATGACAACCACAATCGTAGTTGCCATGAGACCTAGTAGATGTTGTGCCTTGTGAGCCAATATGGTTCTGTATGGATGAAACAGACGCACGGTATTTCGTATCTTCGTGATTCTTTGAAGCTGCAGGAATGCCATTGTATACACTGAATTCAGTTCCGCTCCAATGTAGTTGATCACCTGTGATGGTTCCAGATAAGACTTTTCGAGGTTTATCCTTAGGCCCAATCTTTGCAAAGTATCCATGATGATTTTTGTGGCTTCGACAGCGTCGTGACGGGATCAAGCTACTATAAGCCAGTCACCAATGTAGGGGAAGACTGTAATCCCCCTTGAGTCAGAGGTATGCGACAATGGGGGCCATACATTTCGTAAACATCCTGGGGGCCTTGACAGTCTGAATGGTAAGGCACAGAATTGGTATGTCATGTTCTGGAATCGAAACCCAAGAAACTTTCAATGATTGGGGTGTATTGTTATATGGAAGTAAGCATCTTTCAGGTCAATGGTCACAAACCAATTTCCCTGTGATAGAAGAGGGATAATGGTATCAAGAGTTAGCATACGGAATTTTCTAGAATGTATAAATTTGTTAAGTTGTCTCAGGTCCAGAATGGGTTGAAGACCTCCATCCTTTTTAGAGACCGTGAAGTAACGGAGTAGAATCCCTCATTTATGTCAGATGGTGATACTCTGACTATAGCACACTTCAGGAGGAGGGATGATATTTCCTCTTGTAGTGTCGTGAAAACAGTGTTCTGATGGGGTTAGGTGGTGGGATCGTAAAGAATTCAATAAGATAGCCCCTCTCAATGATAGATAGGACCCACTTATCAGTTGTTATCCGTCGCCATTCAGAAAGGAATGGGAAAAGTCTTGTAGGGTTAGCTGAATCGTAATGATCAAAAGTATTGCTTACCCTTTCGTTGCTGTTTATGGAAGGGCAGTCAGATGTTCTGGGGTTGCTGCTGTCTGAACTGCGGTGAGGCGGTATGCATTGGTTGGTAAGGTCTTTCTTGTGACTTGCTTATATGTGCAAAATGGTTGATACTGGTATTGTTGCTGTTGGTAATATGGCTTTTTGTAAGGAGGTTTCTGGTAGCGATAGGGCTGTTGTGGAACATAAGCCTTAACTGTCTTTCTCATCTTATGGATGTTTTCCATCATGTCATCTGTTTTGGTATTGAATAAGCCCGTGGCATCGAATGGTAAGTCTTCAATCCTAGCCTTGGTATCGTCGATGATGTTAGCCAATCTAAGCCATGCATGTCTTCTAACGGCTATCAAGGTGGCCATGTTCTTCGATGCCGTGTCTGCAGTGCGTCTCACAGCCACACTTTGTTGCTTGGCCAGAGTCGTAGCCTCTCTATATATGTTAATCAATTCCTGTCTTGTTGCTTCAGGTGCTGCTTATATTGTAGGGAATATCTTGTCCCATAAGTGTCTTCGATAGGCGCCCATAGCTGCCTGGTAGTTAAAAATTCTAATTAGTAACACTGCAAGGGAGTATAGTTTCCTCCCTAGGGAGTCGATTTTGCGATCCTCTCTGTTCACTGGGGTCATAGATGACCTATTGCAGGACTTATATTGAGTAGACTCTTGAGTTAGGTGTCGGGTGTTTGAGCAAAAAATCAGCATCGGCACCATGCGTCTTGTAATGATGCTCCACTCTGCGCGGAGTTTGTAATGTTGAGGGCGGCTTGTCCCATGATTTTCTGACAAGCTGTAGTAACGCTGGTATGAAGCTAGGTGGTGGCGTCTTGTCTTGTTCCAAGTCATGGAACACCAGATCTTTCTCCTGCTGAGGCGGGAGCTGTGCATCAAGGTGGAGGGTTTTAGCCATGCGCAGTATGAGTTGGGCATACGATGTGTAATCCTTTGAAGGTGATGGAGGATGATTGTCAAGAGTGTCTAATCGAGGGGCAGGATGTTGAATTGTAGAGACATCTGATGATGACGAGCTGTCATCCTGGGGGGATGAGGATGACATTAATGGTGAATGGTCTGGACCCTACGTATGGATTCTCAGTATGAAGTCGTCATCTGGCTGTGTAGACATCGGAAGTGGTTCGACATCGTGTCTATGAGGTCTGGAATAGATAGTTGTTGTGTCCACCGTGGGTCGACCTTTAGATTGTTTGGCTTGTTTCGCTGGTGCACCAGTCTCAGGTGAAGCCATTCTCTTTCAAGACCATCTCTCCTGGAGGAGGGGGGATTTTCTCAGTATCGAGGATGACCAGGCGGAGGAGACCTCGTGGGGGAGTACCACGTTGATGGGGGAATATCTTAGTCCCCTGTAGTCGTCTTGTTAGTCGTAGTCATGGTACCGATAAGGGTGGTAGTGGCAGAAATAGTGATGACCATAGCACAGGGGACGTTCGGCATGACAACATTGGTCTCCATGTCAATGCGGTTGATATGGTGAGGTATGTCTACACTTCTCCATTCTCTTTCTCGGAGAGTGCTCCAGAGACTCTGATTCGGACTCCACACCAACATTTGCCTGCCCTGATGTTCAAGGGCTATAAGGGGCCACGGACGGGCTGGAAGGTTCAACAGCCTCAGATTGGCCTGAGCTCGGTGACATGCTAAGAATGGCATGCGGTGCCTTAGCTGAGGAGATCGTGCACTCCTCTTTGTCCGACAGAGCGGGTGCTTCTCTGGAGGACTCCTCCATAGGAAGCGGAGCTGGTGGAGGAGCTGCAGTGATCGATTTAGAAGTCTTATTTGGCTTCTTGGACTTATCCTTATCTTTCTTCTTCTTTGCATCTGACCGTGACTGGGTCATGGTAGATGATTTAGAAGATTTCTGCGATTCTTTAGACTTGGTAGGTACCGAAGTTGTGGTAGTCATAGACTGGGTAGCCGGACTGGGTGTAGCTTTGGCCGCTTCTGACCGAGATAGGTTGGACGAAGGGGGAGTCCTCATTTCCATGGTTGGATTCAGAGTCTTTTCGTATAGGAAAGATCTCAAGCATTGAAGCCTCAACTTAATACAGTAGCAGGTTTGGAGAGACTTTTGCACGCAGTACACAACTGGGTGTGGTGGGATTCTCCCAACCAAAAGAAGCATTTGTCGTGTCCGTTGGTTAAGGGGATTTTGCAGAGGCAAACGGAGCACCTCTTGAATCCCCGAGGGCCCATAAAATGAGGGGGAATAAGGGCAAAAGACCCATGGGAAAAGGGGGGGAAAGGCGGGAAAAGAAAAAAACTGTTGTACGATGATGGAAAAAGGTTCTAATCTCTACGGGGATAAATGAAAATATTCTAACACAAATTAGTTAGAAGAAAGAACGCTGATGAATACTAAAATGTAAGATTTACTTTCCTTGTGGGAGCTCTACTGTTCCTGACATCCTAACCTAATGGTGGAAAAAAGGAACTGAAAGGAAGGTTGTGGAGGCGGAGCTTGTGCCCTGGGGAGTATCTTAATTGTTACTTTTTTTTAAGCTCTAGAAATTTCTGAGACGTCCTGCACAGGTGCAGAAGAAACCCATTTGTGTGCATTCACAGAGGCCGCTACGAAGAAACACAGGATAAAGGAGACGAGTCTCATATCTAAGCAAACATTTTAGATCTAGGAATAAGGATGTGTACAAAGCGAGGCACAGTACATGATGCTACCAAACAGAACAGGGCCACTTAGGTTTCCATAGTGGAAAGGCATTTGGAATCAAGCAGTTAAGACCACCTCCTTTTTTTTCTTGTTAATGTTGGTGAAAGCCTATCCATTGTCATAAAGAAGGCAGGCTGCACAGTGGATTACTAGGAAGCAGTTATCATGCAAAAGCCATCCAGAAACAACAAACATCCTTAATAAGGAAATCACACCGAATCATGGAAATATGTCATGTTCCTATTTCCAAAGCAGAAAACATACTAGTGAACATGCATTCACAAACAGTTTAAGAATTAAAATAGTTTTTAATGTTGCTTAGAAACAATTAGGCCTACTTTTCTTTAAAAAATATTAATTTTTTTGACTAGGCTACTGATTACCTGTGGAACTGCTATTAATATTCACTGGGTGGGCCATGTCTGCTCTTTGACAAATCCAGAAATGGATCGTTATGTGTCATGCAAATCAAGCATCAAGTCCAACCGGACATGCAACCTGAAACAGAAGAAAGAAGCCATTAAAACACTACAGTTCAAAAATTGGTTTCCTTTCATTAATAATGTTCACAAAGAATACAGCCGTGCCCGCTTAACGATTGCCCCGCATTATGACGAATCCGCTTTACGACGATGTTTTTGCGATTGCAAAACGATGGTCTAAATGGGGGAATTTCGCTTAGCGATGATTGGCTCCCTGCTTCGGGAACCGATTTTTGCTTTACAAGGATCAATAACAGCTGATCGTCGGGTTTTCAAAATGGCTCCCCGCTGTGCTTAGGGATGGATTCCTCGCTATACAGCCACCGAAAATGGCCACCATATGGAGGATCTTTGCTGGACGGTGAGTTTTTACCCCATTGGAACACACTGAACGGTTTTCAATGCATTTCAATGGGGGTTTTAATTTCGCTTTACGATGTTTTCGCTTAACAGCGATTTTCCTGGAACGGATTATCGTCGTTAAGTGAGGCACCACTGTAGACCATTTGTGGTCAACGTTACGCTACGTAAACCTGCAGATAAGACACAAGCAACCCTATGTAAGACCTATAACAACTTTTGTTATATGCAAAAATCATACTCTTTTCCTAAGGAATCTTATTTTTAAGTGCTCCTGGTCAACATCCCCTCTAAATGTGTGGGTGCGCAGCCACACAGTGCTGCACTGATACCATGCACCCGCAGCCAGTGTTGCCACCCATTTTGTTCCAGGTGCTGCTGGAATCTTGCTGTCAGAAAATTAGAGGGAATGTTGTTCCTGATATATTCAAAGAACTTTTCAATACAGGACGTACCTGTCTTAACTGTATCATTTTTAACACAATACAGACAAGAGATAAAGAGCAGACTGCAAACATATTCAAAGATATAAGCACATACACATATGTACACTGTTTTGGGTCCCAGGTTCTAGCTGCCCAAGTTAGGTGGTAGCAGCTATTCATGCTAGCCAGATATTAGTATGAAATCCAGAGTGGATTAAAATCAATGGTTTAAAAAATATATTAGATTTTTAAATTAAAATAGGTTTTTTTATTTAAATCAGATTTATTTTAATGACATGCTTTTGGAGAAAAAATTATCTAAAAATAAGTTTTCTATTTAGGATACATTATGCAGTGGTGCCTCGCAAGATAATTGCCTCGCAAGACAATTAATTCGCAAGACAATGTTTTCTATGGATGATTTTTGCAAGACGACGATTTTTCCCCATTGGAACGCATTAAATAGATTTCAATGCATTGCAATGGGGAACCGTGTTTCACAAGATGGGGGGTTTTTTAGACTGATGCTTTGAAAAACGGTTCCGCGAGGCACCACTGTAATTCACAGTTTATTCGGCATGAAACAGAGCTTAGCTACATAGCATGAGGCTATATATTCATGCAATACTTACATTTTTGGAAAACTAATTCAATTAATCCATGTTATCCAAGCTGAGATTACATGCACTTTTTCACAGTAAAAATGGTATAACATAAACAAGGTTCAGGAAAAGACCTTAATGCCATCGTTGTTCTGCAAAACGTACTTACAATGAACACATTACAGTAGAACCGCAGTATCTGCAGGAGATAGGTTCCAAGCCTTCCCGCAGATGCCAAAAAATGTGGATGTAGTAAATCCTATACACTGCATGGTCTCTGGATCCTTCTAGTGCCTAGTTCTAGTAAATACACCCTGGAAATACATATAAATACAAATATATATTTCAAGGGAGGATTTAGTCGGTGGATACAGTAAGTGACTTAGTGGATGCTTATTCCACTGATAAGGGAGCTCCTACTACACCTCAAATGCTAAGTTTGAAGACTGGCTGGAAGATAATTTGCTTTTTTAAAAGATATTTTGTTTAATCACTTCAGCTAACAAACAATGTTTCAGTAAATATAAGAATATATATGCTATATAATGTTATTGCTTTAGTTAAATAAAACAATTTAAGTAGTTCTCCAAATATGAGTGATTAACCTATTAAACTAAAATCAGTTCTGATATAGCTGTTTGAATAATCTGACAGGTTATTATTCCAAATATGAAATCTTCATCTGGTTGCAAATATTAAAAATTATAACTACCAGCAAGAATGAGTCTTTACATTTAAAAATCATGATTTAAATGGAGTTTTACTAACTAGTGATTTAATCAACTCAATTTAAATCAAATCCACCCTAAAAAAGGGACATGGTGGCGCTGCACCCTAAAAATGTCTTACTAACATTATTTATGAATAAAAAGTTATGCTCTTATGTTTAATACGAAGAATGAATGGAATCACCCAGAATTGCTTCTGGACACAAGCAGAACTGAGCCCAGAATTAATGCAGCTGAACTTCAACTCAGCAGTATGTTCTCTCCTCAGTGGCAAGAACTACAAAGAACAGGGCACAGTATCTTTCCCACACTGAGGATGACAACTCTCTCAGTCTTGTTTCATCATTTAGCAGCAGTAGTGATGATATTGGTAGAAGGCTGTAACTTAACACCGGCAAGATTATCAAAAGGTCTGTGAAACCGAGAAGACAACAAGCCCACAAACCATTTTATTTACAGCAAAAGCTAGCAAGAAAGATGTAAATATGTGTATGCATTGGATCTTAGAATTTCTAAGAAAACAAGTACATTAGAAAATAGACTCTTTCTCAAGGCAATCTTGTAGGCCTTCACTCCTCACAAATTATGTGTTTTTACATGCTTGTTATATATCTGCCTGAGATTGCAAGGGCAAATACAAGAGCAAGTAAGGACTAGCTAGAATTTTTCTTTTCTTCTCCCCCACCCCCCGAGAAGTTCTCTTGAAGTAGGAGAAAGCATTCTTAGTTCAATATTCAAGATCTTCTCCACCTAGAGAATTCCAGTGCCAAAAGTCTTGGCATTCACATGGCTTGGCAACATGTGAATTATAGCCCATTAGAACAAATTCCTTTTCTACATACAGCCAAGTGTTTATTCACTAGCACATAAAGCTGATGAAAGCCTTGGAGTAAGGAAGCAGGAAGGGAGGGAAACGGGAGAGAAATTATGCTTGTTCTATCTTGCTTTTCACTGGATGCCATTAAAAAGACATGTGCAGAGACTATGAAGTCAGAAGCTGCCATTGACTTGGGACCTCTTTACATCAGATTTAACAGATATCCTGATTACCAGTATTGCATTCTATGAAATAAATAAGTGCAATAAAATGCTGTATTGTACGAATGCACTTTTGATGGGAAAGGGCTCTACTCAGCATACATACAAAATAAAATACACTGCTGCAAGCCACAAATAAATCCATATATCTATACTGCAAAGTATATCTATACCGTGGTTTCCTCTAGGGAATCAATCCATCTTGCATTTGGTCTTCCTCTTTTCCTGCAGCCTTTAACCGTTCCCAACATTACTGTCTTTTCCAGAGAATCCTGTCTTCTCATGTTGTGCCCAGTATTAGCTATTTATTTACAGTACTTATTTCACCAATCAAACAAGCTTTTCATACCAGTCTGCTGCTTTCTACATAATGATAGGTTGATTTATACTGCAGGGCTGTTGTAAGGTCTTGATGCATTGGGTAAAGGCACGACACAAAAGGGCTTTTTATAGTCATGTGTACTACTCACAGTTCACATTTTATTCTAATAAAGAGAAAAACACCACATGGAACAGTCATTTGTGGAAAATGAGGCCCAAGACGGAGTATCGAGGGAAAAGACAACAGAATTGCAAAATCTTTTTGGTTTGAATTATGTTGTAGATTTGCTAAATATAGGCTCTCACATGTTTCTCCCATTTGTGAGTGACAACATTTAGTTAATCTGTAGTTTTAACAGTATAACGCCCAAGCTTCTACCATGGAATGAAAATGTTTTATCGGGCAGCTGGCCAGGGTACAGTTTTTAAAATAAACACAAACCTCAGTCCTAAAAACAAACACAAAAAAACCCCTGTTCTTTTTCATAGGTTAAGTAATCATATGACACATTTCTGCAGGGAGTCCTCCCCTCCTGCTCTAAACTAGCCCCACTGAAATGAATAGCATTTGTGTGCCTGCTCATAGGCCACCCACACCATGGCTTTAAAGTCACTTCTGTGAGCATGGCCTGTACCAGAAGAGGCATGGCACATCATGGACAGCATGCCTACACCTACAGCATAGCTACACAACATCAGGGGTTCTTTACTTAAAGTATACAGTATGAAAGAGCTGGCACTGCACAGTACAGAAAGCTGAAGGTAAAAACAGACTCTCCACAGCCTGTGTAATTTTTCTATAGTTTCAAACATATAAAGGTAAGTTATTCTGCTCAGTTTGCTATACAAAACTTCTTTTAAAGCTTTTTCAGTGGTAATTGGTAGTTAGACCAAATATTATACTGTACAATTTTTAAAGATCGGGCAGCATACAAAGATTTCTGATAGTATCAACAAATGATTGCACTGCAACCGAGTCTAATTTGGCTGTGGTGACACATACCTTAGTTATATCCTGCTTCTGTTTATGTGGGGTTCCCGTTGCAGGCAGTCTGAAAACTTTAGCCATTTCAAATATGGAGCAGTCAGACTGTTCATTGACTGGGGTCAGTTATAGGGAACATATAAATGTCCTTGCTACAACAACTGCACTGGCTACCAGTCTATTTCCAGGCCCAATTCAAAAGGGCTGGCTATCACATGTATACGGCTTTGATATACAGGCTGTCTGAAGGGCCATAACTCCCCATGTGAGCCTTCCAGCCCCTTCAGATGAGCAGAGGAGGCCTTTCTCGTGACCCCACTGCCATCACAGGCATATGTGTTGGGGGCATGAAAGGGGCCTTCTCTGCAGCTGCACCCAGTTTGTGGAATTCTCTCCCTTAGGAGATCAGGATGGGCCCCTCCCTTTTATCCTTCCATCAACAGCTGGAGACTCACTGCTTCAGACAGGCTTTTAATATCTATAATCTGAGTCCTGAATACTGTTCCATTGCTTTTAAAAGTTTGATTTTACAGTCCTAAATGTTTTTAAGTTACTTA